TCTGTCCTCAGGGACACCTGAGTAATGTGTGAGGAACCTTCTTGGAACTGCTGAAAGGACTGTGTTGTGGAGCTGTGCTTTCTGCAGGATGTTTTCTGCCCTGTGTCCCTTCACTGTTGAACATACAAATAGACTTCTAGGGGTGAGTCTGTTGTCTGCATCTCAGACTGAAGTGCAAATGGTGTCTATAATCTGCAATTTTTTTTTCTGGGAATCTGTTCATACTGGATTTCTGACTCCCCCCCCCCCTCTATGGACAAGCAAACTTGTCTTTGATGTTTTTACATGCTATGGACCAGGGATGGGTGCTACAGGTTTTACTACCAGTTCGCAACCTGCACACAATGCATGCAATATTCAATGGAAATTGTTCTGTGTGCATGTGCAGTCACTAAAATCCAACATGGCTGCGACATCAGTGGCAGTGAGGGAACCGGTTCGGGGGCACGTCAGGTCGGGGTCACTGCCGGGTCTGCGACCCAGACCTGAATCCCACTACTGGTTCAACCGAACCAGGCCGAACCAGCAACAACCCACCTCTGCTGTGGGCCCAATCCTAATGCAAGACCTAATCATGGAAGTCAAACGGATGCTAGAAATCTGGGCACTTTATCTTCTCAGGCAAGTATTTGGTATGATGGGGGAGGGGAGGCACAAATTTTAAACAGTGGCATCATTTCCTTCTACTTAGTATTAACTTTGTCCTTTCCTGAAGCCAGCCAATGAACTGAAGCCTCTGAGTCAGTCCTCTCTTTCAGCAGATGAATTGCTTCATAACTAACTTGCCTTTGTGGAGGTGTGGGAAGGCAGTGCTCTTTATTTTTACATAAGACTCAGAAATGAATAGGTCTTTTTTTACCCTACATCGCATCCCAAATTAGAAAATGTTTTCATCTCTTGAGATTTGATTGGCAATCAAGCCTTGAACATTGCTGATAAAAGGATGAGAAGCCCGAGCAATGCATTCTCCTTTGTTCATTCTGTGTAAAATGCGATGGGCTAAAAAATAACCACAATGCTGAAATCTGATTGTGCATGTATATTCAAGGTAGGTATTGATTTGTATACAGATAGATCTCGACTTGCAACCACAATTGAGCCCAAAACGTATGATGCTAAGTGAGACATTTGTTAAGTGAGGGGCCAATCACCTCCAAGCCTTACTCCCAAGTCGCCCCTTTTGTCTTAACTCTTCTTGCCTTCTGACAGCTCTATCCATGCGCGCACTGGGAACAGGCTCCTCCTGATCCTCTGCCTCACTGATGTCTGATTCTGGAGGCTCTCAGATGGCCTTGGCCCCCTCTCTGCCTCTGACGCAGAGCCCTCATCCGAGCCTTCCCCAGCCTCCAGGACTGGCCCATGTTCCTCCCCAACCTCCTCACTATCCGACTCTGTTGCCAGCTTTGCAGGTCGCCAGCGGACCACAACACAACCATCCTAAATATGAACCAGTTGCCAAGCATCTGAATTTTGATCACATGACTATGGGGATGCTGCAATAGTCGTAAGTGTGAAAAACAGTCATGTCTTTTTTTCAGTGCCGTTGTATCTTTGAACGGCCACTGAATGAACGGTTATATGTTGAGGACTATCTACATTTACAACATTTATATACTGCAGGGATGTCAAACTTGATTTCATTGAGGGTTGTGTTTAACCTTGGAGGGCGGAGCGGGGGCAGGTGGCCGGGAGGGCGTGATCATGGTGGGAATGGCTGGGATGTGCGTGGCCAGAGTGGGCATGACACAGGACCTCCGCACACATGGTTTTATACATTTATAAAAGTAGAGAGGCGTACATTTCTGTGATTTTTTTAATACATACTTAATCTACTTGATCACCTTATGAGAGGTAGACCAGATCAAGAAACTGACTCCATAGGAAGACTAGAACTATAAATTTTTGACATAGGCTATAGTAGCAGAATCCTGCCAGCCAGAAAGATAAAATATTTTACCTTTCCTCCTCTTTATAACCTTTTGAGTGAAGGAGACGACTGGTCCCACAGGCCCGATCTAAGCACCCCACAGGCTGGATGTGGCCCACGGGCCTTCAGTTTGACACTCCTGATATATAGCCATGGGGGCATGGCATGGGGCCTATATGATTCCCAATGATTAAAAACAATTAAAAAGCCAATTGGTAAGAGCTGTTAAAAACAACAAATTAAGTAACACCTGGTGGTGCTCAGTCCCAATATGGTTAATTAACTCTAAAATGTTTCCCACAACAGTCTTGTTTTTACAGTCTTTCCAGGTTAGGGATGCCAATGTGTGTGTGTGTGTGTGTGTGTATGTGTGTGTGTGTGTGTAAGGTGGGGGGGGGGACCTGCCTCAAGAGCCTCCCTATGTGGTAATATTGGTGGAAATGTCCTTCTGGGTTCAGTTCCAAGTGGGGAAAAAGGCACTGGAAACATAGAGACTGCTTGGAAAAATGATTTTATCGGTTGACAGGACTACATAGTTTGAAATCCTGGGGGAAAAGGGAGTCACATGCTTCAACATGTTGGGTGAAGCAGAAAAAGAGAGAGAAGGGCTTGCTGAGAGTTCCTGGATTTTTTATACTCTCTGTTTGGCCCCACGTCTATTTCCTGTTCCTGTCTAAGAAATGTATTCAGATTGGTTGTCAGACTCCCATGGGGCCATGCAGGGACAACTCTCTAGGCTGTGTTTTGAGTCCAAGTTTGGTTGAGCATTGCTTCTTCCCAGGTGCCCTGTGGTGAGATGGGTAAAAGGCTAATACTATCATGCCTTAATCCCATCACGCTGGAGCTGAAGGGGGGAGATCTTAGTTATGTAGAATAGACTGGTCCAGGCTTTTTAATAGACCGCAAAGGTGCGGTCTATTAAGAATGAGTCTGTTTCCTGCCTAAAAACATCTTTCTCTGTTTCTTATCCAGGGAAATATAATATTTTGCCTTTTCAATATTTCCTAGGATATTCCATTCTTCTAGGAGAGGGCTGGGTGCTAACTTCCTACAATAAGATTTTAAGTTTTGCTTTCTGAGTTAACCATATGGAGCAAGTTAGTTCTACTTGAAAGAGGCAGTCTTGATGATAGTTGAGAATCCCATCATGAAGGCTTCGAGAGATTAAAATCAGCACGTGGATCTGAAAACTACAAATTTACTGGAAAAGTTGGTTGGATGAAATCCTTTACCAGTAAGAGAGAAGATGGTATCAATGGCATTTCCAAATTCTTTTAAAAAACAGCCCTATATAAATACATTGCAATAGACTAGCTTTAAGAAACCATGACAGGAATGACTGTCTGTTAATTCTCTGAGTTTATCATTCAACTCAATGATTCATACAACAACAAAGAAAACCAAGGATTAGGTTGGGAAATTAATAATACTATTTGACTAACTATATATACCATGATATACTATTGTAAAATATCATCTCCTATAAAAATTGTTAATTTGTTGTTTATCAAACTTGTATGCCGCCCACTCCTGGAGGACTCCGGGCGGCTAATTACATACATCGACTTTGTTGATAATGCAAATAGATTTATATTTAATCTTAGACATTTATATACTATTGAAAATCTAATTGTCATGAGCTTTCACTGGGCAAAACAATGTATCACAGGAGAACAAATTTTAAATCATTACGAATGAGATAACTTACGGAATGTTACAGTATTTTTTGGAGTATAAGACGCACCTTTTCCCCGCTAAAAGGGTGTGGAAATGTTGGTGCATCTTATACACCAAATACAGCTATTTTTGGCTGCCAAAGCCCTGCCCCGCATCCCATTTTTGTGAAAAATTGGCTATTTTTTGCCAAAACGAGGGTGTTTTTTTCCTTTCCCCACCCCCCAGAAATACTCTGCAGGTTTCAGGAGGGCTGGGGGAAGGAAAAATGCCCTAGTTTTGGTGAAAAACGGGGGCATTTTTGCCTTCCCCAAGCTCTGCTGAAGCCTGCAGAGTGCACCTGGGGGCCGGGGAGGACAAAAACCTTTTTCCCTGACTCACCTCTTTGAAATCTTGGTGCGTCTTATACACCAGTGCATCTTATAGTCTGAAAAATACAGTAGTTATTTGGGACCCATGACTCCCAAGGGAATGAAATTTGGGGAAATAGTGGCTACTTCCATGCTATTGGCTGTTGCTATGATGCTGGACTGCTGGTGAAGTCATTTGATTTTCATTTTCAACATTCTGTGGCAGTTTCCTAGCCAGTCTTGCAATCCCTCACTTCCTTCCCCCATCAAGCAGCAACTGCTCACCTGGCTGCGGGAAGGGAAGGGAACCCTGTGCACCTTCCAAGCCTGTGCCAACTCCCACATTCACTGCCATACCTGTGCCATCCCCCATGTGCCTTCCGTGATCTATGCCACCCACCTGAATGCCTTCCATGTCCCATGCAGCACCTTTGACGTACCCCCAGACCAGGGGTGGGTTTCTTGCCCCGTTCCAACCGGTTCGGTTGGAACGGGGCCGGCGGCGTCCTCGTGCATGCGCGTGGCACACGCGTGCACGCACGCAGCACGCGCATGCGTACTAACATCTGTGCGATGCTCCAGCTGCTTCTGGAGGATCGCGCAGGCACTGTATGCGTCCTGCGCATGCGTGGAAGCGCAGAACCCGTCAAAACCGGGTAAGGAGCGCGGGTGGGCAGCTGGGCCCTTCGCCGTTCCCGGA